AAGGGAGGACCCCCCCCCCCAAAAAAAAAAGCTGGCAGTGCCCAATCCAAAGACGACACAGCATATTTTCTTCACGCCTGGAACTTGTGTTGCTAGTGAGCCATTTTTCGTAATTAGATTTAACTTCTTTCAGCTTACACTCTTTGTTTGGTATACCCAGTCTTCTAAAATGATATATTTCAATCTATTCACTGCCTCTTCTTCTCCTCCACTTCTTGATAAATAGGCTGCATGGTCATTTTTTTTACTCTCTAAAATTCCGCTATGAGCTGGTACCCATACCAAGACAACTTATATTAATTTTTTTTTTACCATATGTTAAGTATTTCTTTAATTATAGAGTTTCTAGGATATGGTTTATCAATGGCAGTTAAAACACTGTATAAATCAGTCACATCTACCCAATAATTCTTTTTAGATTCGCTTATGAAGCATTCATGATGGCAGTAGCCTCTCCTGTGAATACGGAGCATTCTCCAGATAATTTAAACAGTAGGTTGTTCTCTTTACTCGCTAAAGCACATCCTACGCTTGTTCGTGAATAATGCAACAAAACTTTGTGTATGCTTACACGTGTGAAAATTAACACCGACATTCATGAAATCGTCTTGCAGAAAAAACTTCAAGCAGTTCATTTTGTATTTGAGGTCTTCCCAATGTAAATCTCATCCAGTTCTTTCTCAGTTTCCGTTTATTCTCCGGTTTGTAAAGAGTGAAACTAAAACATTAAAAAAAAAATGCTTATCCCGAATACCTCATCTATCATAATTTCCTTGACGCATCGGATCCTGGACTCGCATGGATCAACATGCCAAGGCCCAATATTTATCGGTAATTATGAGTACAAGATAAAATGCAGCGGACGATAGCTCATTAGCCCGACCGGGAGAACAGCGAAGGGAAGAGCGATAAGAGAACACAAACAGAGGGAGCCAGCTAACACATTAGCCTGTATTGCAGTCTGCACTCAGATCCGATCAGCGCTACACCACCTCTGTAAACCAGCTCGCTACATTAGCCTTGTCCATAATCCTCAACAATAGCTTACTGCCTCCTCCTCCCCCTATGCCTCTCTCTCTCTCTCTCACTCTACCTCTTTCACAATTTTGCAAAATCTTTTAATTTTTTCATTTATATGTACTTAAAATTACCTTTATGTTAGGTAGACAAGCATAAAAATCTGGTGCGCGCAACACACAACTTTCACTTACCGATCAACTTTGAATAGAAATTATTTTCTGGCCCTATTGGGCTATTTTAAAATTTTTGAATTGCATTTTTAACTGAGCTAAAGCTAAATTATTACAGCCAACAAATCATAAATACTATTAAAATAACAAAAGTACTATTTATTATATCAAAGGTTGATTATGTATTGTACGACGATTAGTTATTAAACTGTTATTCTCCATTGCAAAGTTTACTAAAACGGAATAGAGAGATTTGCATTGTCTGTCATAGACAGGTCAAAAGTTGTCACACTGATTTTAAGTGGATTCTGTTGGAAAATCACAAAGAGAAAATTTATCAAATTATTCACTAATTTAATTTTCTAAAAGATTACATAATGATTTTTCGAAATAAAAGGACGATAGGTACCTTTTTATTTAAACATAATATCAGATCTAGAGTTATTAAACTACAGTAAATTGGAGTATTGCAGGAGTATTGCGTGGCCAACGATAAATTACTTCAAAATAACTCAAAGTAACGCGCTCTACTTTTTGACAGTCTAATGAAGTCCAAATCTCCGCTGAATATAAAAAAACGGAATTCACCATATAATTTGACAATTTAAATTTCGTATCGAGAGAATCTGATCGTGACCTATATAAAATACTGACCTGACGTACACCTCTTAACATATCGAAGTAAATAGGCCAAATATTTTTGTATGCCATCTTTTGTCTCGACTTTATAATCAGATTATCTTACGACTTAAGTGGAAAGCAAATCGGTTTCTGGTGTCTCATTCGACTAATCAATTTAATGAGAAACCGGATATTCTTAGAATTTTCGTAAATAAAAATTGATTACAATAAGATTAAGTCATTTACAAAGGTTTAGGCGGATGTTAATAATCTGATAATAAGGGCTCTGTAACGCGGACTATAATAATTTATGTTGGGTGTTCCATAAGTAAAGGGGGGAAAGGAAAAAATAAAAATAAACGTTTTAGCTGTTGAACACATGCATCAATGCAGTAATGTTGCGTTGCAATAACGACAATACAATTGTGCATCAGGCGTCGCTGACGAATTAACTAAATGTGAATCCATGACATCAGTGCTACTCTATCTAGTGCGTTCAACTCCCCATCGTTGACTTGCCCGGGAAGTTCGGTATTCCTGGATTAACAGTCTGATGGAGGTGTAAATGAAACGATTAATAGTGTTTATAGCCTTTTTATTAAAATATAAATTTATAATTTAAAATATATAAATATTTTTACTCTTCTTCCCTTAGGAGAATTACACTATGTAGGCTCTTTTATGGTTTGCTATAGTTTGTTCTAAATGTTAATGATTTTAAAAACTATACGGAATTTGTAACCGTTATTTAAATTATTACAATTAATATTCGTCTCTTTACTTCGGTTATAAAATATTGTAGGATGAAAATTGTAATTTAACCCTTTTTATAAAAAAGTTTAATACCCATGTTCTACTCTTCTTAACATAGTGAATGAAAGGAATATTTATTCTATTATCCGTGCTTGTTACAAGGTATATAATGTCGTCAGTGTCTCGGTGTGTAAACAAATATTTTATTTTGATTTAATTTACTTCGTTATTTTTGCCAAAATTTACAAGAAAAAATTTATTGTTAATAGTTTCTACTCGATAGTATGTCAACGCATTTTTTCTGAATTATTTTTAATATATTTTTTTTTAGCTTTCTGAACGGTCGGGATGAGTTTTCACTTTGAGACAGACTATATGAGCCAGAATGACAGAATGACTAACTCCAATTTTAAAATTTTTGATTATTTATTTTAGTGATATTTTTAGTGGGAAAATGTATAATTTTATTCAAAGGTCTATATTTCAACGCTGCAATCATCTGATCAAAAATTTTGAAATTGAGGTTAGTCATTCTGTTCATTTGCCCTTCAATCTTCAACTGACAGGCTTCTATATTGCCAGCTGTGGATCTAGTGATTACTGAATACATGATCTCAGTAAAAATTTTATATATATGACAAATCATTCTAAAAAAAAAATATTAAAATAAAATTTTTTAGTTGATATATTACAGAATCATTTCAATCTAGCCTACCCTTGTGATTATCTCTTTTTATGTTTCTCATCCCCCATTTCATTTTAAACTATTACAATATAAATATATGCAATATATACATATATATCTTGTTGCAATATATATATACATAAAACTGTACTCCGCTTGGTCTTGATGTCTGCCTTCAAATCTTTAACACAAAATTTATCCCATCTCGATCCGTCGACTTTTGATACCATATCATTTTAAAAGCTCCCGATTTTTTTCAACGGATTTTATTAAGGTTTTAGGAATTTATGGGACGAAATCGGGATTCTTCTCTTCTCCATGGAGACACATGTTCTGGTAATCTTTCCAATGGACCCTAGGCACCGAGGAAAAAAAAAACATTTTATATTATTTCAAATAAAATTTTATGTTGTTAATTTTTGCCTTTACTTTTCCCGAATTTTAAGGTTACTATATATCAACCTTTGTGTGCAAAATAAAAAATGTATCAACTACTGTATAAAATGAGTTATAATGTATCATAAATTAAAAAAACCAAAAGGCGCTGCCAGTAAACTAGACCAAATAAATGTTTGTTATGAAAAAGCAAATTAGATTTCATAAGGGCCTTTTAAAACTCTTAAATACGAACTGTTATATAAATAAATAAAAAAATACAAAATTTAGTTCTTGGTTTTCTTGGATGAGTTTTTTTTTTTCCGGCCGTCAACTAAAGCATTCATAACTCCTTAGGATTTTCTTCAAATTTAACTGTAATATAACCGTTGGAAAGCTGAATTACTGCTCTTCCAACTGACGATAACTTTCGTATTTCACTTTTTTTTGAAGCTAGAAATTAATGAAAACTTCTAACCCATTTTTATCTTATATCTTTTAACAAATTTTTTATTTGTTTACGAAGATCAAGTTTATACCATTGCGTTTAGCACACAGAGGCCTAAATCCATATTAATTTGCGTAATTATTAGTTTGCGTATTACTGAAGACGTTCTGAATTTTGTAGTTGTTGAAGAAATTTCCAAGGAAATTCCAAATTCCGGAAAAAAACATCAACTTTGTGTCTCCCTAAAAAAATATTTACTCCCACATTGTTACATCGGTTGGTCCAAATTTTGTTCATAGTTGTATCTATCTGTAACATACAATATTTATTCAAAATCGGACTGGTATCTAGAGTAAATATTTTTTTTCAGCAAGGTTTCGACATTTTAAATCGTCATTCGTCGCTTCTCCATAAAATTTTCCTTCGTTTGATACCCCATTAATCTAAATCCATTGCCCGTAAATAGATCTGTACTACCATGTTGTATGGAGTGTCGATTTTTTTATATTTTAGATTAGTAATGACATTCATTAAATATATATAAATGGAGTCTTTTTTTTTTTAAGCACTCATGTTGTTTTATTTATAGCTCATTTAAATAAGTTCAGGTGGGCACGAGCAGGTGCATTTAAATATTAAATAGAAGTCGGAAAGGGGTAATGTGTGCCGATTCAAATGGACCATAAAGAGTGACAAGGAGGAGGCGGGGAGGGGATGGCGGGAGGCGGCTGCGCCAGCGGCGGCAGTCCGCCTCGGGATGTCTCTGAGGCAGAGGCTCCGCTGCTTCCTCGTCCGCCGCCGGCAGCTCTACGTCGTACACCCGGCCTGATGGAGCAGAAGAAGAAGAAATGGCCCTTCGGCTTCCTCAAGTCCTCGCCTCTCTACCGCAGCGTCAGCGGCCGCCTCTCCGGGGGGAGGAAGGTTGCCAATGGGACGGTGCCCCGCTCGGCCGACGACGACGGGGGGTTCTCCACATGGGAAGGCCACCGCGGGGGAACAACCGTCGTCAAGTCCCAGTCGGCCTACAGCCTTCCGCTGCCGCCTGCCTACCAGCCACGGCGCCCACGATCGTGGTCTCCGGCCGGCCAACCTTCGCCGTCGGACTCGGGCTACCGCTCGCTTCCTGAAGCTAGGGCCCTCGCTGACCACCGGCTCAAGGGGGGCGGGTTCTCTTCGCTGCCGCCCCGCCGGTGTGCCCCTTTCGGCAGGCCCCCCAGGCCCTCCCCGACCTTCCACGGCACCCCCTTCAGGACAACCCCGCATAGCCTCAAGCACCTTGACGACAAGCTGGCTCTCCTCTTTGACATCTTGGACACCCAGGAGAAGTTCGCCAAGGTACCCAAAACCTTCCATTTAAGTAGTCGCACTTGTAGAGGATCTAACCACTATAAATATGTCTTTTGAGTCAAAACAGTGAAGAATCTCACAGTCCTCAATACCAGTGATAAAATATGGTCAAGGAAAGGCTCATGCCATATTATTTGTTTTCGTGTATTGTGTAATTGTGTAGGGAACTGCATTCCATAAAACTGTATCTTCAATTTATCTGACTTTTTATCTCTGTGTTATAATAGAAAATAACAAATTTCTTTGAAAAAAAAATAGTGCTGTAGATTTCTAATTATCTAAAGCTAACAATCTTTTAACTAAATCTGAAATATACTAGTATTAATGTGACTTATTTGATATATTTATTTACTTACTTATTTAATTTAGTTTGTATATATTGAATCCGTAAATACTTCCTTTGGAGGAAAGTATTGCATTACCCCAATAAGTAATGCCCTTTTGAGTGGCTAATAATTTTGGTTTCTAAAATTTAAATAAATAATGAAGAATAAATTATAAATAATTTTAATAACTTATTTTTAATGTTAACATCAACCTTTGTGAACTCTCTATTTTTTATATAAAATACTATTGAAATAAATTTGCTGGAAATATTCAACTTTGGAATTTGAAATAGCCTGCTCCATCAGTTGCATATTTTTAATTTTCTCTTATGTGTACATATTTGATGGAATTTAGTTTATAAATTATTGTAACTAAATTTTATCAGGCTTTTAAGTCTTCCAACGCCATATCTCAAAGTGCTGCTTCATTTTATTTAAAGTAAATTTAATACTACCTCACAATAGGTCTATTAAGGCCTCAGTGAATCAAGCCCCTCTCCTCCCCAAAAATAAATATCACCCTTTTTTTATAAGTATTGCTTTTTTGAAATTGAATATTATCGACGAACTGTAGATATTTTTTAAAGATTTTGTATTTGAAAAAGTTGATTTAGATTTTTATTTTCTTCTTTGTATAGTTTCAAATCCGTATAGTATTTTTTTATTTATTTTGTATTTCAGTTCCAGTTCAAAATAAACATTTATTTTTTTTACAAAATTAATCATCGGATGGATTTATCTAGAATTTTGTATTGTGTTGCAATATGTATTTTTCTTCGACCAAATCATACTGGCTGTCGATTTAACATTTTTAGTTATCTACATTGTCGGAATTATCTATTGCAGTAAGTGTAGTGTTAAAATTAGAGAAATCCCAAATTTAAGTTGAAAATAAGTCAGAATAAATGAAGCTTTAGAATCCAGTTTAGTGGGAATATATAGCTAATGTTCAGAATTCAAGTGATATTTTTAACATAAAAATATTTTTTCTCCTGATGGCTAGTAAATTACTTTAAAACATAAAAGTCTGCAGCTATTATAGAATATTGTACATATTATGTTTATTTGTGATGAAAGAAATACAATATTTATTGGGATATTCAAGGAAATACGATCATAACCATGCAATAAAAAGTAGTAATACTTTGAAAACATTTAATACTTATTTGCTGGAAGGGCTTCATTTTTAATGCTTGTAGTTATTTCACTACAATTTGGAGCGCTCTACTTGAAAGGATACAATAATATTGTACTAAATAATTTTACAATTTCCATAGGTATTGTAGTAGTGACTAACACTATATGTATTTGAAAAAAGGTTTTCGAAGCTAATTCGATTGTTTCATATAAATATTTTTTAAACTATAATATACAAATATAACATAATAATTAAAAGTTTGTATTATGGACATAGTAGGATGATGAAATCATAATTTTAAAAAAATATGATTCATCAGAAATACATCCCTCAAAGAACCTTTGATGGTAATAATGATTGAAGAATGAACTAATTTTACTATATAAAATAATAAAAACGAATTTTAAAAGAAAATACTTTATACTTTACAGGAATTTAGTTATTTTATTCAATTTGAGTGCTATCAGTGGGTAGTTTCTCAACAAGCGATTTCATGTTATTATATGCACATTTACTAGTTGTATTTTTGTTTTGTACTACAGTTGTAAATAACAATGAATAAAAAATAAAATAAAAAAATAAAAAGTTATTTTATTCTAAAAATATTTATTTTGTGGATCCACGGATAATTAAATCATGGTGAAAAGTGACATTTTTACAAGCTTACTCATTAAATATTTTCGACGATCGTTCATTTGGTGCTGTAAGTAGAAATGAGTTGGAATAAACTAAGCCCTCCCATCCAGTTAAGTTGGGATATAGCTAAGTATAACATGATATTTTAATTTCAAATATATTTTTTTCATAAATAGGTACGTAAATGGCTTTCAGCCTTATAAGTAGTTTTAGAAAAATGAAAATCACTTATATTCATTTGACGTTTAAAATTCTACATATTTTTTGTAATTTTTATTTCCTTTTTATATTTCTTTTCTTCAATTTCAACTATAAATATTACAAGAGGTCGGTTGCAAAATTAATTCCAAACAACAAAATTTATTCCTCAAAAATTGTGGTTATTGAAGTGAAAAACAGATTAACTACTTTTTTTCTATACTGTATTACCTTGGGAGGATTTTTAATCATTGCTATAATTTGTTAGTGCTTTATTATGTTTTTAATATAAAAATAATATTTTTTAGAATTTTTTATAATTTAATTTATGTCATTCCTTTAATTTACGTAGCTACTAATAGAGCGATACATTTGTTTTTTGTTATAACGCGTTTGTCTGTGGTTTAAGTCATTAATTTATTTTTTAATATAATGCATGTCAATAATTTAATTAATGCAATTGTATCAAAAGGTTCCATAATTTATAATATTTGACGATAATGGTTTCGTCAGTGATTCTAGTAGTTTCTTTTTCTTTCTTTTTATTATATATATATATATATATATATATATATATATATATATATATTATATATATATATATATATATATGTGTGTGTGTGTGTGTGTGTGTTTACGAATTTCTAACGAATCCCCCACCTTTAGGTTAATCAGTTAATTTATACATTTAACGCTTGATGTTTTATTAAAATAACCGGTTTGCAAAATTAGGTCAAATTTTCAAGTGTTTATTGTTTTTTTGTTTTTTTTTGTACTAAAGAGTATATAAACTGATTTTGTTTTGTGGGTAGGTATAGTTTTAAGATTTAATGTGTTATTTAATTGGAATTTGTTAAAAATAAATAATTTGTTTTGTTGAAGCTAAAGAAGTTTATAGTTCATCAACAGTTAACACTAAAGAAGATAATTTATATATATATATATATATATATATATATATAATATCATTAATATGATCAGATATTAATATAATATCAGAACCTATTATATTAATTGTTTCAGCACGGTTTATAAATTATGTCGAAATCAGTCCCGTAGGCTCTAATCTCAGTTAAGAATAAGGCAATATAAACACTACACATATTTTTATATCATTTAGTTGATGATATAAAAATATGTTGACGCAACGATTCATTCTCTACTCTCGCTTAGGTGAATAACAAAATTAAAAGCTTCCATAACTTTAGTAATATCGATACTAAATTTTAAATAAATACATGTTTGCAAAAAAAAAAAAACCTATTTTACTTTAAAATATACGAGGTATGCATGTGGTAGGTTTCAGCGAGGAGTAAATTTTTTAACAAAGCACGGCTCCTGAGGTTTCCGTCATTTATACTTTTGTCAGAGTTGAAATTCCAGTTCAGGAATTCTGTACTGTTTTTCCCGTTTGGTTTTGGAACGCCCGGAATCTCTCCTATCTAAACAAAATATATATTTATTTATATACACGTGTAATTTAAATTTAAATAAATCAGTGGCCTACGTACAATTGATGACTCGGCCGTTCACAATATTTTAAATCTTATCTGGATAGAATATATCATATAAATAGAACCGAAAATATTATAACGATGCCAGTAAATATACTGACTTTAAGCCGATATTAAAAGCGGACATAGGAAATGCTGAGCTGAGAAATTAACAGGTGATTTACACAGCGTGAAACGAATTCATGGGCTGTGGCAACTGAAAGAGAATTCATACCTTTAAGTCTGGAACCCAATTATGGGAGTAGCCCTATCTCTACTAATTATTACCACACAGTCAGACAACCTGTTGGAGTCTTAAAACAGTTTACGTAATACAATTTTGTGAAATCGTTCAAATACAGATTATTTAGTAATTCAGTGTGCGACTTTTCAAAAAATGGTTTTGTAACTAATTTTTTTTTTTAACTTAATCGAATGCTTTTGTATACCACGAATAGGATTTCCTGGCTATTCATTTATAGAGAACTTTGGTGTTTTCTATATTTCATAATTTAAAATTATTTCCTAATTTATTTTTAATATAAAGTTTTTTTAATCCCGTGTCGTCCTTTATAATACATATATTTATTTGCTCAATCATTTCTCAGTAATTTATTTTAAATTTGTGCAAATAACCGTTTGTTTGTTTTGTGTACCACTGTTTGCATTACATCTCTCTATTATAAAAAAAAGTTTTCAGTGTAAGTCATATTTTATTTTATTATTAGAAGAGTAGGGGGTTATAGGACCTCTCCTTTTAGCTCTATAATTAGTACTAATTAAGTACCTGTTCATTTTATTAAATATGTGTTGAGCTCCTGTCACCTAATACTCTCCTAATGCAGAATAAAGATTTTTGACTAAAAATTAGTACTAGAAATGATATTTATTCATCTGGAATTAGTAGTTTAATTTTACCTAGATGACAGCAGTTATTTTTCGATCTAGACATTTTCCCTCGATTACAATATACTAATTATCCTATTATACATAATATAATTTATATTATATTGTGATAATATATAATTATTATGGTATATAAAAGGAAACAAAATATATGGAACAATGAAAATGTTAGAAATAAAAAGCTTAATTTATTGTTGGGATTATATGAAGCTGTTAAAGTTGAATATATATTATAGTTATGTTATGGCAATAGAAATAATTATAATAATAACTGTTTCGTTCAGTTTATTTTATGTTGATAAAACATAATACA